AACCCTAAACTCTAAGCCCTAAAGGCTAGCTGAGCTTGAGACGGTGCACCTGGGGTCAAACCAGCTCCTGAGATGCAGTTTTTGTTGACATCAGCGGTGTCTGGTGGAGGGTTTGGGGCCTTGGGGGTTCAGAGTTTAGGGTTTAGGGTTTTCAGGTTCAGGGCGTGACTTGGTGCTTTTCTTGCAGTTGGGTGTTGGCACTGGGGATTCATCCAGGGCCTAATTGCACATGCTTACCGTGATTTTCTGGTTGTCTTCGTTTGCTTTCAGCAGCTGTCACTACTGCTCTTGCACAGGAATGCTCCTTCCGTGGCTGGCCTTAGCTGTATGCCCACTATGCTTCCGAAAGTCGAAGAAGAGAATGAATATAGAGATTGTTTTCGTAAAGAAGACGTAGTGACGATCATAACCTTGGCTAAACCGTGGCCAACAACCTCTGCAAAGCCACTCGAAGCCTCCATGCCAACACGCCTGCCTTCAGCTTGTAGCACCCTCAACGCTAAACCCTAAACCCTAAACCCTACCCGACGGGAGGCTAAACGAACTGCCGGAGAACTTGGGCAGGTTGCAGGCACTCCTGCGCATGGGCTCTTTGAAGGTAAGGGTTTAGGGTTTAGGTTTTTAGGGGGGTCTCAGTGGCGAATAAAGTACGGAAGACCTCGATGATGTGCCTTTAGAACCTTCTTTTCATTACAGCTCCACAGTAGGAAAAGGGTACCTTCCTACTGGTAGCCTAGCTAATCACGCGAGGCGTCGGACGGCCTTTGAGCAAAGGGCCTGGATGTAAACGGGGGTTCAGGGTTTAGGGACTTTGAGATCATCATGCCGTCATAATAATATAGAGGCCTAAATCATTACCAATATTACTGTTAGGGTTCCTTATTGTAATAATACTATAAAGGAGCCCACCACCCTGTTCTAAGTGTTCAGGCCCCAACCTTATTTATGTACAGCATGTTCTTCTTGTGGCACCTTCAAGTAAGTCCCGTAGTAAGAACCCAACTTTATCCGTGACATTGGCGTTGAACTTAGCAGAGACGCTGCTGCTCTTCGGAATAGGGGCTTTTGTATTGACGCCTTGAGGGTCTAGGGTTTAGGGTATTGAGGCATTGAGGGTTTAGGGTTTAAGGTATTGAGGCATTGAGGGTTTAGTTAGGGTTTAGGGTATTGAGGCACCGAAGGTTGAGAGTGTAGGGCCTACTGTTTCTTCGACAAGAAAGCTGCAGCATTTGGGGCGGGTTGAGAGCAGAAGCCCTACGCCGTACGCACTGCAGTCCGCTGTCTGATAGGCCCTAAACCCTAAACCCTAAACCCTCAGCCCTAAACCTTGTATGTTTTCTCAAGTGCCTCTGTGAGTGTCTCCTCTTCGCGCCTCGAGGCGTTGAAGGAGCTACATATAGGCAGCAACACGCTCCTTGGCTGCGAAGAGATCAGTGCTGTTGGTTTTTTTGGGGTCTTGTTAAGGAACTTAGCTTAAGGTACCTCATGGGGCATATACTTTTACAGTAAAGCCAATCTTGATACTGTATGACCAAAAGCTGCCTAGCAAGAATCCAGGTTGCGAGCTTGGACTGAGGTTTTGTGAAGCTGCTTCTCTCGGATCAGAGCCCGTAGAAACGGAGAAACCAGCGAGCTAGCGCTTGATGAAAAGTTGAGGCTCACCCACTTGCCGGACAGCATAGGCCTGGATGGAGGGAGGGAGTGTTTAGGGTTTAGGGTTTAGGGTTTAGGGTTTAGGGTGGGAGGGAGGGAGGGAGGGAGGGAGGGAGGGAGGGAGGGAGGGCATGAGCTACGTTCCAGCCGGAGGCTTCAGCAGTGTTTCTCCGTGTTTCGAGAAGCCTACCCTAAAAGCCTTAAGCGTAAACATAAAGCCCATCCCCTAAACCTAAACCCTAAACTCTAGAGCCTAAACCCTAAACCCTAAGCCCTAAACCCTAGAGCCTAAACCCTGAACCCTCCACCCTTCGCCCTTTGGGAGCCCTGCAGCAGCAACTCCGAGCCGAAGATCAGCTTCGAGAGGTGATCTGCAACTACTGCAGCAGCTTTTCCTGGGCAGCAACCACCTGGAGGTTCAGGGTTTAGGGTTTAGGGTTCAGGGTTCAGGGTTTAGGGTTCAGGGTTTAGGGTTTAGGGTTTAGGGTTTAGAGTTTAGGGTTTAGGGTTCAGGGTTTCGGGGCTTCGAAAGTCGAGCAAGGGTTTCATGAAGGTTCTTTTTGGGCTTTCTTCCTGGTTTCTGGTGGGGTTTAAGGGTTTTAGGGGTTTGGGCCGCGGAGGGGAAGCGGGTCATCGAACGAAGGCCCCAACCCCAAGCCGAATGTAAGTGCAGGCCCCGAAACCTTAAGGACCAAAGGAGCCCTCAACAAGAGCGAGCCTTCATGGTTTAGGGTTTAGGGTTTTAGGGTTCAGGGTTCAGGGTTTTAGGGTTTAGGGTTTAGGGTTTTAGGGTTTAGGGTTTAGGGTTCAGGGTCTTTTATTCAAAACCCCCTCCTTTGGAATGTGAACCAAGCAGTTTTTGAGTCGAATCAAGCCATTATAGATATCTCTTCATATAAATATCTAGAGCTTCCAACAATGTCAACCCAGCTTTGGTGTCATTTCAAGAACTTCTCAAGTTGCTTGACTCGAATCCACCACATCCCTACAGGACTCTAAACCGCAAGCCCCCTGGGTTCGAAAACCCAAGCTTCAAGATTGCTCTGCGAATCTCTACTCTACAGTCTCTAGTGGATGAGTGATGAATTAAGCCTGTGCCAGGTTTTGCCGGAGACATTTGCCTTGGCTGGTTTGCAGAAGCCACTGGTTTGGCAAGCTATGATTACTTCTTGAAAGTTCAGCCTTCTGCGTTTTAGGGTTTAGGTTGTTAAGGATGTAGGCCGTCAGTGTTTAAGGATTTGGGGCTTGAGGTTTATAAAGACCCATAAACAGTTTATGCAAACCTGTGATTGGTGGGTTTTCCGAGGGTTTCGAACCCTAAATCCTAACCCCTAAACCCCTAAACCCTTAAACCCCTAAACCCCTAAACCTCTAAACCCCTAAACCCTAAACCCTAAACCTTAAGCCCCTAAACCCCTAAACCGCTAAACCCTAAACCCTAAACCCCGGGTTGAAGGACTTCGGGTTCCTGGCGCAGGCTTGCCCGAAGCCCCAATCCCTAAACCCTGACCCCTAAACCCACAACCCTAAACCCTAAACCCTAAACTCCCAAACCCCAGAACCCGAAGCCGTTACCCTGATGGTTGGAGAGTGTCGAGCTTCCCATTTCATTTGCCTCTTGAAGGTGATAGACGTTCAGGCTATAGAAGCCTTGGGTTTAGGGTTTAGGGTTTAGGGGTTTAGGGTTCAGGGTTTAGGGTTTGGGCAGTTACAAGGGGAGTTATAGGTCCCCTAATATAGGTTAGAAGTATAGTTAACTTACTTATAACCCTACTTATAACTACCCATGAACCTCCAAGCAACCATTACCTATACGATTTTGGGGGTTCCTTAGTATAGTTGTAGTATAGTTGGGCCCCAGCACCCAAGCTAGTTATTGAGGCCCCTTTACTATGACTAGCGACCTGATGAGGTGCCTTTGGGATGTGTAGGGCCTTTAGAATACTGGTTTGGGGTTTAGGTTTAGGGTTTAGGGTCTAGAGTGTAGGGCCTTTAGAATACCGGTTTACGGTTTAGGTTTAGGGTTTAGGGTCTAGGGTGTAGGGCCAATAGAATACCAAAACGCACAGTGTCAGGAACGGTCAGAAGAATGGAAGCCACTGTTGGAAGAGGGCAGACCTGTCATCCGGATCTCGCGTCGAAGCCCTTCACCTCCACACCCCGAACTCCAAGGCATCGTTTAAGTCTTGAATGTAGGTTATGATCGTTTGGGGCAAACAAGGCCACGACATGAAAGGTGTAGTTGTGTGGCGGATTTGTGAACTTGGAACGCTGCCCCGGACTTAGATGCTGCAGAAAACCCTACGTACCTGCGTCAGAATTCCTAGGCCCTAAAGCCTAAACCCTGGTTTTCTTGCATTCAGTGTTATTCGATGAGTTAGGGTTCAGACTTCCATGGTTTCGACTTAGGCTTCTAGGGTTTAGGGTTCAGGGCTAAGGGTTTGAGCTCTTAGGGTTCTAGGGTGTAGAGTTTAGAGATGAGAGTTTCGGCTTTACTATAGGGGCCTTAATAACTACCTATGCTGTTTTGGAGGTTCCTTAGTATAAGTGTAGTATAACATACACCAAAACCCTATTCTAATTGTTAAGAGGCCCCTAATATAGAACCCTATTATTGATCCCTTATAGAACCCTTTAAGGATCCCTTTAAAGGAACCCTATGAAACCCTATTCTAATTATTAAGGCCTCTACATTTCTCGTCTGGAGCTGAGGTTGCATCTGTCTTGCCCTGAGCTGCTCTTGCGTCGGCGTGCTGCGAGGGATCGGTGGACATTGCAAGTACCAAAGGGTTTAGGGTTTAGGGTTTAGGGTTTGGGGTTTGACAGATTAGTTAGGGTTTTCCATTGTGGCCAATGCCGTCCTTATGTAGCCGTCGTGTAATCGTGTAATGTAGGGGCCTCAATAACTACAAATACTATTTTGGGGGCTCCTTATTAAAATTATAGTATTAGTATAATGTACCCCAAAACCCTATTCTAATTATGTAGGACTCTACATTACCGCCAAACCCCATTCTCATTATCGCGGCCCCTAAAGTGTACCATGCTAGGACCCCTCATCCATACCCTACGGTGGATATATGAATCCTGCATTACCCAGAATAAGGAATATGCCATAATTCCCATACTTTAGGGTCCTTAAGGTACTGCAGGATTTATATCATCAACAGTCGTTCTTTTCATACATGACGTAGGGTCTATCTGTTACTTGTAGTTGAAATGCAGGAGAAGTGTCACACTATTTCCTCTGATTGTACCACGCCGCTAAGGCGTTTGGAGCCGGCCATGATGAATTTAGTCATGATGACCTTACCTTAAACCCCAGATCCATTTTATTTTACTACTAAATCTGTCTGAATGTGCTCCCCTTTCCTGCCTAGAATACTGGGTTTAAGATTCAGGGGTCAAGGCCCTATGACATAAACTGATAAGGCCCTATGACACAACTGAGCCGTTCGATCTGCGCACCTGCAAGGTGCTGTTTCCTGCCTGGACACGGGAGTCTGGGAGTTTGTAGGACCTGCACCACCAGCAAGCATGCCTGATGGGTGCAAAGACGAATGCAGACTTGGCCGGGCTGCCCCTTCCCAAAGGATGCAGTCTCGCTTTACCACTTGGAGGTTCATGGGTAGTTATAAGTAGGGTTACAAGTAGGGTAAGTATAGTTACAACCTATATTAGCGGACAAATATCTCCCCTTATAGCTGCCCATGAACCTCCAAGTAGCCCCAACTTTACTGACGCTGCTGGCATTCGCACGACGCATCATGGCACACGAGCCTCGCCTCCGCATCGCAGCAGCCCACCTGGACATTCTCGAGACGAGAGGAGGAGGCACAGGAGCTTTTTTTCGCGCTCATGAAGAGCTACAGAGACTGCGAAGATTGCGTCCTGCAAACTGGAGGTTCCAATAGGCCGAGGCAACATCGAGTGAGAATGAAGTTCGCTCATCGAGGGCCGATGGCCGATGTGTCGGCACGAACGCCAATTGTTGTGCTGCTGCCGACACGTGGTCATGGGACCCTGTCTCGATTGAGATGAACTTTGATGAAGTGGAGGGTACATCGGCCCTGCACATCGTGAAGCCCCCAACCCTACGCTATCGCCAGGAGACGTGGCAATTGCCCGAGACTCACGCCTGAACCCTAAACTGCAAGGGTTTAGGGTTTAGGGTTTAGGGTTTAGGGTTTTAGGGTTTAGGGCTAAACTGTAAGATGTCCGGGGGCAAAGGAAGGCAGAAGGCTCTCAGCAGCCACTGGAGCCCAATGGACCTTACTTCATAAGGGTAGTTGTCAAAATTAGGGTCCCTTTTGGGGTACCCTAAATAATAGGTGCCGTATTATAATAAGGACCCAAAAAGGGACCATAATTTTGACAACCACCCATAAGGACCTTTCGGGGGCAAGGGGAGGGGGGGGGTAGGGGGGCCTTAATTTCCCTAACAAAGGCTTCATAAGGGTCGAATAGGGCCTATTTGTGGAAGTGCAGTATCTCCCTACCCCCCCTATGATTAGTTAGGGTCAAGGACCTGGGATCTGCGAGGCTTGGTGTTTTTAGGGTCTAAGGCTCTAGGCTCTAAAGGGTTTTAGGGTTTGGGTATTAGGGTTTAGGGCCTAGGGTTTGGGGTCGTGTAGGGGTTAACTTTTAGGGTTTTTGGGACCTCCAGGGCTTGGCGCTTGGAGTCGTGGTTGCAGAGTTTGCTTCTCCTGAAACACCGCTTTCGCGATCATTCAGGGCGTATCAATACGACCACAGCACCCCCGAAAACTCCCAAGACCTGGGCCGACCTAGGCCGTAAATCCCGAACCAGAAATCCGAAATCTTGAATTCCCAACCCGAAATGATAACCAGCTGGAGCATCTCGACGAAACCCCCTAAAAGCCTGTAGCACCTTCTACAGCCCTATGAGATCCTGATAAAGCTTTAAGAAAAGGCCTTATAGCATGCACTACAACGTTGTAAAGCCCTTATCTAAAAACCGTCATACGTCACCCTTGCCCCGAGACTCCAAAGCCCCTCAGTTAAGCGATGCACCTGCAAACTATAGAAGCATCCTTCATATTTTCAAGGTAACCCTAAACCCTAAACTAGAAAACCTTAAACCCTAAACCCTAAACCAGACAGCCCTAAACCCTAAACCAGAAAACCCTAAACCCTAAACCCTAAACCAGACAGCCCTAAACCCTAAACCAGAAAACCCTAAACCCTACACCCTAAACCAGAAAGCCCTAAACCCTAAACCGCTCCTTAACTCAGGAGTCTTAGGGTTTCTAAGCAAACCCCAAGCCCCAAACCGTAAAGCCTGAATGCAAAACCCCAGGCCCCAACCCCCAAGCCCTGAGTCTAGGACATTTTCAGGTGGGTAGTTGCCTTTATAGGAGCCTTTTAGGGTTTAGGGTTTAGGGTTTAGGGTTTAAGGTTTAGGGTTTATGGTTTATGGGTAGAAGGTCTATATACCTTATGGAAGCTTTATAGAAGCACTATATACCCTAAGCTCCCCAACTGTAGTTTCCTTTAACTAAGCCCTGAACCCGGCAAAAGATCCTGACGCCCCTAAACCCCAAACCCCTAAACCCTATACCCGAACACACCGGTTTTTGTTAAGGCGCCAGAACCTCCTCCAAAGTCTGGCGGAGAGTTTCGGGGAGCTCCGGAGCTTGAAAAAGCTGCCCCTGGGCTGGACTTGAAGGGCTTTGGGGATGTAGGGTTTGGGGCTTTAGGGTTTTGGGTTTCGGGGTTAAGGGCTTTGAGGAGTATCACGGGTTGAGGGTGTGTCTTTCTGTGTGGGCTTTAGTGAGGTTTCAAAGTGTTTTTGAGGTTTCCTACAGCCGAAGCCCTAAACCCACAGGTATTGAAACCAGGCCGGCGGGCTATTCTATGTAAGGTCTTGGTATCTGGATGGCGTTTCAGAGGGGGATGTAAGCCTAAACCCTAAGCCCCTGAACACCAAACCCTTAACCCTAAACCCTAAAACCCTAACCCTAAACCCTAAACGCTAAAACCAAAAAAACCCTAAAACCCTGAACCCTTAACCCTTAACCCTTGAACCCTAAACCCTAAACCCCAAACCCTAAACCCCAAACCCTAAACCCCAAACCCCCAACCCTAAACCCCAAACCCTAAACCCTGAACCCTAAACCCCAACCTGAAGATCAAGAGTCTCAGTTTTGGCGGATCTGATGCCAACAGCTCCGAGAACAGGTCTCGCAAGTTGCAGTCGATGGTAACCCTGGATTTAGGGTATAGGGGTTTGGGGTTTAAGGGTTTAGGGTTTTAGGGTTAAGGGTTAAGGGTTTAAGGGTTTTAGGGCCCAGGGTTTAGGGTCTACTTGGAGGTTCATGGGTAGTTATAAGTGGAGTTACAAGTCCCCGAATACAGATTATAACTATAGTTACCCTACTTATAACTCCACCTATAACTACCCATGAACCTCCAAGCAGGGTTTAGGGAACCTACAAGTTCTAAACCTTCAGCCCTACCCTGGAAATCGTAGCTCCGAGACTTTGGGGCACGCGTCGTGCTTCTTCGGAGCTTCGGAGTATGGAGTGGCTTGTTGTGCATGGGGCCCCTGGCATTCAATGGGTTTAGGGTTTAATATAGGCCTAAACCCTAAATCCTAAACCCTAAACCCTAAACCCTAAACCACTATTACTCCTCGGGATTCCTTATTATACGTACACTATAAAGGAGCCCCATAAAACCCTATTCTAATTATAAAGACATTGTGTCCTTGCAGTTCAAGCTCAAGGCTCGGGCCTTGTCAACTGCAAGGGGGCTTACAGGGTTTTAGGGTTTAGGGTTTCGGGTTTTAGGGTTTAGGGTTTTAGGGTTTGGGGTTTGGGGTTTAGGGTTTTAGGGTTTAGGGTTGAGGGGGGTAAGGCCCCAAGAAATGAGCCCTGAGGCTGTGAGACTTGAAACCAATACAGAATTTGATTCCAGGGCGATTTGGGGTAAACTGTGGTGTAGTTGTAATGACTTCGATCGCGGTACATATTGGGGTTCCTACATGACTACATTGCTGAACCAGGAGGACCCATAATGAAAGCTCTCCCCGTTTAGGTGGCATGGCATATGACATGTGATTTGTTCAGACGTCTCTTTGCAAACCTTAGGCCCTAAACCCAAAACTGCACAGGGGCCAAAGCTCAAGTTGGATGAGGGGTTATCACGTGGTAGACGCCATATAGGCCTGAACCCTAAACCCTTACCGACATACTATATAATATACTCTTCATGAGCAACATAGTCCTTATACAGTATGTAGTAGTATTGCCTCATAGTCATACTCTTCTTAGGACTTTCTCTTCTAAAGTAGATGTAGCGAAGCCCCATTCTGATTCTTAATTCTCTGGGCAAGTATACTGCGCAGACAGCACACTATTCTCTTCAACTCTTCAGCTCATACAGCCTGCACCCTGAGACCTATATAAGGGCCCTCATGAGACCCTTCAACCTGTGCGTAACTCCAAGGTTCTTGGACTCCAACAAGATTCAGGATGCTTCGGGGTTTAGCGTTTAGGGTTTAGGGTTTAGGGGGCGTGTGGGATTAGGGTCTCATGCTTGTGCGGTTGAGCTAAAGGCTTTTGGGTTCAGGGTTTAGGCTTTCGCAGTTCGGGGGTTTTAAGGTTTTCAGGTATTACAGTGATTTCTGGAAGGAGTTTGGTAACCCCTAGTTACTCTTATAATAACACTTAATGTCGGGGCCTTAACAATTAGAATAGGGTTTTGGGGTATATTATACTAGAATCATAATACGGAGCCCCCAAAACCCTATTCTAATTGTGGAGCTCGTAATCATTAGCGCAACTCTTTTGCTCTTCGCACCTCAGAGCTTCGACTCTGAGATTCTGGAGTAGCACGGTTTAGGGTTTAGGGTTTAGGGTTTAGGGTTTAGGGTTTAGGGTTTAGGCATCAGCCCTTCGGAAGAGCGGATGAATGAAGCTCGACATCGTGCTCATCTGTAGGTTCGCGATTTAAGGTAGGGGCCTAAATACTTCCCTACATTACTTTGGGAGTTCCTTATTATAACTATAGTATAATAAAACCCAAAACCCTAGTCTAATTATCAAGGCCCCTACATTATAGTCCTCAGCCGCCTTAGGTTTCGGGTTCCTTTATAGAGTTATCGCAAAGAAACCTACAGCACTCTAGTCTAATCAGTCAGGCTACAGTGCATAGAGGTCTGAGCAATAAGTGATTAGGGATACTACCTCTGCTTCGTCCCGAGATCAACTATCATGTACCACAGAACCCTACTCTCAGTTACACAAGTTACATACCAGTCGCCAGTCGCCTAAGCCCAACATCAACACGGTAAGCGCGGAAGGGGAAGGAGGAGACAAAGAGG